AGATGTGTATAAGTACTAAGCCTAAATGCTCATATGCAGTTAGTTCATAACATAATCTGAATGCCAAAATGGTACATTCTTTCGCCTAGAATAACGTAGAAAGACTCCCTGTGTAGTCTCCTGTGTAGATGATTGCACATCCCTTAAAATCATCGGTTCATCTGGCTGTACATTGCAACTAAGTTGAGTATCAAAATCAAATTCAATATCTGAATAAATTGATGAATGCGGCGCATACAAGATATGACGTCGATTTCTCCTATATGTTTTGCCATTCACTTCAAAAATATATGAACGAGGCGTTTCAGCACAGTTAACAATTCTTCCAGTGGAACCCCACCCATGTTTAGATTTAATTTTCACTTTATCACCCGGTTTAAGTTCTTTCAAATTTCTTGCACCATATTTTGAATTATAATACACTTCCCCTTTTCGCTTTTATGATTTATCAGCCACTCGAATATCTTTCTGGTTTGGTGTATAAGGTTTGAGTTTGACAGGTAGTTGAGGTAGAGTTGTTGGTATCTCTCTTCCCATCAATAATACGGAAGGATTTAAACCAAAACTAGGTATTGGTGTTGATCGATAAGCCATCAAAGCTGAAAGGTAGTCAGTTTGTTTAAGAATGTTCTTTGAAATATTCACTGCTTTCTCTGCTTGCCCATTTGCTTGAACATGGTATGGACTAGTAGTGACATGTTTAAAGTTGTAATCTTGTGCAAATTGACGAAATTCTCCCAAAAACTGGGGACCGTTATCGGTGATAACTGTCTCCGGAATACCAAAAGAAGCAAAGTCAACTTTCAAAAAGTTAATCACAGCAGCGGGCGAAGTTTTATGCATAGCATACATTTCAATCCATTTCGAATAACAGTCCACTACTATCAAATACTGTCTACCATCTACTTCCGCCAAATCACACGCAATGCGTTGCCATGGACGATTTGGAAGGTGAAACTGAATTAGTGGTTCTGCCCTTTGTGATGATTGTTTACTTGTACAATGTTCACATCTACTTACATATTCAGCAATATGTTTTCCAATTGAAGGCCACCAAATCGCTTCTTTAGTACGAAGTCGGCATTTTGCTATTTCCTGGTGTACTTGATGGTGAATTCTCGACAGCATCTCCACTTGCAGTATTTTAGGAATAATTATGCGCTCACCAAAAGTCAAAATACCATCAATCAAAAAGTTAACGTTTTATTATTAGTTATCTCTCGAACAATTTCTTCAAGTCTTACATTAGATGCAGGCCAATGTTTGGTAACCATTCTCACATGAGCCAACAATTCTTCTTCAAGATCTGTATCTTTTGGTTCTGCAACATAATGACAATGTATCATCAACAACCATAAGTTTACCGGGTGTATACTCAGCACGACAATTATATTTCATAAGACGTATCAAAAGACTTTGACATCGTAATGGAGCATCACATAAATCTTTAGAATTAATCAATGGTACGAGAGGTTTATGGTCAGTTTGTATTATTACTTTGAGTCCTCTAGGATAAGTATAAAAACGATCACATGACCATACAGAAGCTATAGTAGATGAATGAGGAATAAATCTAGAAACCCAATTAATCATGCCCATGAGGCGTTTAACATCCGACTTTGAAGTTGGTACTGGCATATTTACAATTTCTGCAATTTTAGCAGAATTAGCTTGTATGTCCAAGAAATTGTACTTCAGTTTTTGACAGGTAAGATTTCTCTCTATTCAGACGAAGACCCATGTTGTATATAGTATCTATAACTTTGTGTAGATGATCATCATGTTCTTCCTGAGTGCTTCCTGTGACTAGAACATCATCAATATAAACAACTACTCCTGGAATAATGAGGTATCATATCACTCATAATTCTTTGACCAATGACCACATTGGGGACACGACTTGCTCACCGGCGATCTGTGATTTTGAGATTTTACAGGAATAGCCCGAGAAGGACGGTGATTCACAGATTGTACACTAGCTGCAGACGACTCTCCTTTTATTGTACACAAATCGTTCAAGGCAGTTTCAACCATTTTTGCATGATCAACCGCTTCCTGAAACTTACACTTATCCTTTGTAAGCAGCTGCCTCTGTACAGTTTCATTCTGCATACCACAAACAAAACGATCACGTAGTGCATCGTCTAAAAAAGTTCCAAATTCACAAGAACTAGCCAAATTTTGTAGTTCCACAGCATACTGCGCAAAAGATTCACCAATTCGCTGAGCTCGTTTATAAAAACGAAAACGTTCGGAAACAATAAGGCGTTTTGAGCCATAATGCTGGAGTAACAATGCACGTAAATCAAAGTAACCTCTACTACTAACTTATATCGGCTCAGAAAGACTTTTAACAGTCTTGTAAACTTTAGCCTCAATAACACTTAGTGGAACTCCTGATTTCTTAACATCAGGCACCTCATTTGCCAAAAAATATAATTCAATCCGCTCAAGATAGTCGGTAATCTCCTCGGTTTCATCATAAGGACCAGTCTGTCCAATAAACGACGAATAAACAGCAGGACCTTTGACCTCCTCGGCCATTCTGCAAACGGAGTATTACTATAAACACAAGAAAAACTCAGAACAACTGCTATAATGAGTTTATCTCAAACACAATACGGTATGACTTAGGATCGTCAATTAAATATATCCTTAACGCCAGAGGGCACAATATTACAACAATAAATAGAAGAGGTATGAAATGTAAATTAATCTGCCTTGAAGTGGGAAGTAGGGGACTAATAACCCCAGACAATGACTACGTGATATAATTAAAAATAGGAGTGTACAATTGACCAAACGAAAAATAGCAGAAATAACACAATTTCCAGTTACACTATCTGGAATGGCAAATAATTTATAACCCTGTTTGAAAACGTTTCTCTTTGTAAGCCGATTTTAAATTTACGTTAGCTTTTATATTGAATTGCCGTTTTCGTGTTTTGTAAACTTGTGAATGTTGTTATTTTTCCTGCAATGTTCTGCTTGCACAGAACGTGACCTGAAATGTTTGTACATTTTTTATATGCTGAATAAAGAATGATTTAATAAATATAATTACTGGACCATTCGGAATTATGGTTTTAATAAGTACTAATTGCTTTAACAAACATACACATCACGATCTTCCACTCTTGTATACATGACTTCTACAGTACTCAACTTTAATATACATGGCTTACCTTATAGTATTTGTCTCTGACCAGTAGTATATTGAAATTGGAAAACATAAGCAACAATTCCTGATGATGACGTGTGATACGTTGAAACATGTCATTTATTAGTATAGTTTATTGCATTATGTGCACTACAATCGTATTTATACTACTAAATACAAAAATATAATTAGTAACTCAATGCCAAAAGTAGTTTTATAGATCCTAGTAACAATAATTAGAAATGTTGACTTATTTTTTCCCTCATCATAGGTATTCTGGAGAATGTCTACCGAGCGGTATGGAGATTGAAAACTTTAAAAAAATTCAGCTCTACTAGAAACCAAAATTGGAGGTAATCTCCATGTCAACTTTGTGACTCGGATATAAACATAAATATTTAAGTTTTTGCAGTATTTCCTCCAGTTTCTGTAAAGATTGAGTATTCTAAACAAATATCTTAGAACGTCCATACGAATGCAATGTGTAACGTACACTATTACCAGAACAATGTCCAATAGATGGAAATTCTCAAACTAAGTTCGTAGGCATCATTTGCTAAATGTTGTCAACAACGTGAATTCTCATGACCAGGTGTAATGAGTATATTATATTTTTTTGGTATTTATTGTAAGTTACAATTGACATTACAAAATGGAGAGTTTCTTTACCAAACTTAATAACTCATTTGCATAATGACATGGGTGCAAATTAGTTAGGTGTTATATTATACATTGATTAATTAGTGGTAGTTGGCTCATTTAGAAATGATGCCATAAGTTGATTGGATCATATTATGAGATTACAGTATATTGTAATTGATTTATTTACTAACATTGAGCATTTATGATTTGTGGCAATTTTGAAGTAATTAAGTCTGGTTGCAACGCTCGAAAATAGAGGTTGGCATTCTTTCAGTTAAGGAACAAAATCTCTTGTTTTTTGTGCCAAAGATAAATTGAAGATATATAATCATTTATGTTGGCTGATTATATGTGTATTTAAAACCGTTATTAGTGAAGACGAAGGTGTTGTGTGTGGTGATGGTGTGATTAACGAAGTAACGCTACAGAAGAAAACCTATGTTTTACAGGAAATACAAGAAACTAGAAGTAGAATTGACTATAGAAGGCAGTATTAGTAATATTATTACCCGTTATTATTACCCAATATAATATTATATAATAAATAATATAGTGGCAGAGAAATGAAATTGATTTTTTTTGTTATGTAATTGGAACGTCATCGGAGGACGAAAGTGATACTACTAAAATCGCTTGCTGCTAATTGGTCTGAACAACGCAGAATTTGGCTGGAAAACGCATAATTGGTCTAAACAACGCGAAATTGGCATGGGCAACACATATCTAATCTGAACGAGGTAGAATTCGTTGGTGCAGTGACGACGCGAAATTGATGAATTGAATGGTAAAGGCGAAACAGACGTGGTGCAGTGGAGAAACGAAATGGGTTAGTTGAATGGTGTGGACGACACAGACGTGGTGCAGTGAATTCAAGTCAAGTCACAAGGATTAAACCAAGATTAAATGTGTATAGGAGTGTTCAGGTAGTGTCGTTTGTTTCATTTAATCTGATTACACTAAAGATGCATATTAGTTTATACAGTATTGTATATATTGTTGTAAGATTTAAGTTACTGGAAGGTTGTGTCAGACTATTAAGATCTGATACAGTACACGATTTAAATCTGTTAATTGCAATAACGTAAATGGTACAGAAAATATTGTGGAAAATAATAAAGAAATCATGTAATGGAAATGAAATAGAAAATAGACAACAAAGTAATAATGTGGTAATAATGTGGTGGGTCAGGATACGCCAAATTCCAACTGGTATTTCTACTGTAGAATGGCTAAAATGTCAGAGGCTAACAGAGAGGAAAGAAAATTAATAGAGGAAACTAAGAGACGGGAAATGAAAATTCAATTAAAATTAACGAATGAGAAACGAGGAACAAAATAGTGAACAGAGCAGTGGACATGCAAGCATGATTGGAAACAATAGGCTGGGTGAGATTAGAATAAACAGCCTAAACAAGTAAACAGGAATGCCAAAACTAAACTTTAGAGGCAAGACTCAATAAATAAGCCAAATTATTTATAAGGAATAAATTGAAATGCCATTGGTTTAATTTAGTGTACTGGGAGCAGAACGTTCCTAATATTGAGTCCAAATGGTGTGGTTGTTTTAAGTAAAAGTTCCCAGTGATTCTCTTTATCTTTGCGATTTTTGTTGCTCCAACTGGCATTATGGTCAATTGCAATCACTCTGAAATTTGAAATTGAATGACCAGCTAAATTGAAATGTTCGGCTACTGGTTGATCAAGCTTAGATGTTCTGATAGCTGATAAATGTTGTGTCATTCTCATACGGGGAGTGTTTTTTGTTTCTCCGACATATTGTTTACCACAAATATTACAATATATGAGATAAATGATATTTTTGGTGAGGCAATTAATTGATTGCCTTATCCGAAAT